AAACCACACCAGGACAACAATCCGGGACATCGCTTCTCAAATTTTTCTGAGTGTAGGAATCACCCGCATGGCTTGCTGAACCAGATCTATGAGCCCCAGCCCAAAAGATTCATGTGTCTCAGCTCCAAAGATTCATTTAGGATGGAGTTTAAAGTTTTGCATTTCTAACCAGTTTCAAGATAATTCTCTGTTGTCTATCTGTGAAGTACAATCTGAGTATTGGTGCTCAAGAGAATGGTACCAAAGGCTCCTTGAAAACAGACAGAAAAGGGAGTCACTTAGATATTTTTTGCTCAGTAGATGGTCTATGGACAGACAGCATTAGCATTTCCTAGGATATTCTAGAGATCCCAAATCTCAGACTCTGATGAATCAGAATTTGTATGTTGTTACCAAGATCTGCAGGTGATAGACATGTTCATTAAAGTTTGAGAAGCACTATTCTGATTCTCAATTTTGGCCACTTTGGAGTCACTTGAGTGCTAGCAAAATTTCACAAGGCTTGTGACTAACCCCAGGAAGATTTGTGGACAGGAGTTTTTAGAAATTGCCAGCAAGGCTCTTCTCTGCAGCAAAGTTTGAGAAGCACAACTCTAGAGGACATGATTTTAGGTGATGATATTGTACAAATTTTTCCACAGACTTCTCTTCTCCCAATCTCCTAGTTTGTCACACTCTATTAATAGCTACTCAATTGTACATGTTAATAAGAATCCTCTCAAACACAAGTGGCCATAGGAAGAAGACAGTGATTTATCAGTCATTTGCATCTTAGGGTTAACGTAATTAGACTCAGATCACAAAGCTGGAAACAAGCGAGTCTTACTGGGTATTAGGAGAACAGAAGAGATGATATTGATGGGGGGGGGTCCTTTTTATCGTGAGCTGAAATGGAGGAAAGTGTGAAACATTGACGATGTGGAATATGATTAATTATTTCTTGTTCAATCCAGAAGTAGAGTGCCCATGGAGTACAGAGTGGCTGGAGGAGGGAGCTAAACTGTGGGAATAAATGGAATTTCTTTTAAGAAATGCCCACGAAAAGAACTTGAGGAATTATAAAATTATAATAAATTACACTGAAATTGGACATGGTTGATGAAGTAGCCATTACAAACTATGATCAGAGACTATACTATTACACATGCATTTTTTTGTGTGTGTGAGCTTGCTGAGATCCAGAAATTCATTTTATACATTTTAAGTGCCCGACAATGTTTTAGTTATGGGTACCCCAGTAATGTTAACCACACCAAGTTGCTCCCTATTTAAACCAGATCAATTCCAGAGGTGTGACTGAATAAATGAACATGGCAAGTACGCACCCAATAAGCTTGTCATCTGCATACACAGGTCTAAGATGGCTGGATTTTTTTGCTTTCCTTTAATGCCTCCAGAAGGTTTGGATTCCTGCTGAGTCATTTAATTGGAATTAGGTGCCTATTGAAGAAAGAAAAGTGTCACATTCCCTCTTATTTAGTGGCTCAGCTGTTTGAGGCTGAAACCAAGTATAACTGAGGACGCCTGAGGGTCACGTAATGAAACTGAAGCATCCAGGTCCTCACCGTTCACCCGTGCTGATCTGCCACAAAACACGTCATGTCAGAGATGGCTTCTGAAGTGGAAACATGAGTGTACTTTTCTTTGACAAGTTCTTACTAACCTTGTTTCTCAGTGAATAAATACAGCGATGGCAAAAGTGGGCTAATTTAAACTATTGCTTTTATTATAATTACACGGGAGCACAAATAAATAAGCACAAATAAATAAGCAGATTGTAAAATATTGCCAATGCACTAAAGAAAACAAATTGTTTTCAAACAACATCTGGTTACTTCAGTAGTATCAAAGTACATTTATAATTACATATTACCTAAAAAAATCAAGTACAAAAATTAAGAGAAATTAAAACATCAGTGTTTATATTATTAGATATATAGAAATGGCTAACAACACGTGAATAGAGAAATCTGTTAGCTAATGCTTATTTGCACAATTTTCCAGGCACATACCTGACATTTTTAATGAGTTGTGAAAAATGTAATATGACATTCAGATTCTTAGATACAGTAAACATGTTATGTTGGAATGGATGTTAAATGGTTTCTTTTAAAAACCCTGTCTTTTAAAAATGTAGTGCCATTATCCACTAAAAAACATATGATTTTATATCATTTCTTCAATAGCTATTTGTTTTAATTTCTTGAAAAGAGCAAGAAAGTAAACGTACAATTGCTAAATACGTAAACACATTATTAGTGCAAGATAACAAGACCTGTGACTTTACTGTGCTTTGTTTTTTTATAATCACAGTGCACTTTACACCAATTGCTACACTATAAATGTTAACTCAAGGAGTTCCAAACAAAAGTGCATACTAAACATTTTCATATATATTATATACAGTATGTATACTGTATGTGGGTGTACACATGTAAATGTAGATGCTTTTAGGGTGGGCAACCCAGTCATATTTGGGAACAACTGAACACCTCAAAAAGATCTTCATCTATATTTGATTGAGACAAATCCAACACTACTTCTGTAAAGGTGTTTCCCCTTAAATTCAAAACTATAGTATTTAAAGGGAATTGTAATCAAACTTTTTTTTTCAGGTTACACACATTTTGCTACAATGTATTGACCCAAATATCAAAGGGTTTTAAATCAATCCAAACAACAAGCCACAATGTTCAAGTCCAACATGGCAAACGTGTTATCCTTTTACTGAGTTACATAGACAGCAGTACATATCCTACGTGTACATAGAGTCTTCTACATGAACATATTTTATACTTAGACATTAACTTTAATATGTTTTAGTATTTTATTTTGACTGTACACTTCATCTGGAAAAAAAAGAGAGAATACCATATATAAAAACACATAAGAGATGTCAAACATGTGATATTGTATAACTTCTTAGAAATAATTGGCTTTGTTTTGAAATTTTAATGATTGCATAATTAAGCTCCTTGAAAGCAGGGACCATATCTTTTAGAATATTTAATTCCAATGCTTCACAGAATTTTTAAAAACAACTATTAGATAAGTTTCTCAACAATGAATTGTTAATAATAAATTGTCCACATTCTGTAATTAGCTATTTTCCCATTGAGGGAAGATGTAGTGAGTTAATCTTAAATATTATAGGTACCACTTTTTCTTCAGTTCTATTTAAATTTGGTGCACAATGAAGTGGGATTTGTTATTCTATTGTACTTCTATTTCTTTGAAAGGGTAAACTGTCTCTCATCTCAGATTACCTACTGCTTAAATCACAGAATTTTTTTTTTTAATTTCATAGGTAGCATAATTAGCTTACAAGCTCTTTTCTATTTTGGGGAAGTGACTCACCTTAACATATAAGTGATTAAAATTGCATTGTTGATGTGCATTGTTTTGATGTCTTATTTAGTTAGCTAAAACACTAACCTGAAAGGGTTGTCTAGTTTTATTGACTTGATTCTTAAACTTGCTCAAAGAGTCAAATCAAATTATATGTGAGAACAAGGCCTAAGCTAGAGTGTAGTAAGAAAAATGTTTCTCTAGTCTCTAGAAGCATTCAAGAAGACGATTTGGAACCCCCATTTCTGAAGTCCCAGTGTCACTTAGGGAAGTTGTATCTCATTGTACCCAGACAATTTCTGGATAGTGGAATGTGTATATTCTTCAAAACAACAAGTGTGAACCTCTTAATGTTTTGTTTTGCTTCACTTTCCCAAATATTTTGTATGGGTGTCATTAATCTTCACTTACACAAATCGATCACTCACTCCAAACTTGTTCCCATGGGATGAATACGGGGAAAGGGACATCAGTGTTCAAATGACCTACCATAACAGCTCAGAAGATGTTGGCTTCTGGCACTGAACAGAAATGCAGGACCTCCTACCCATTGATTCCAAAGAAATTTGTCTCTTATGTGCTAAGAAGTTTTCCCCATAGAAAAGCGTCTTGTTGACAGCCGATAAAATTCTGTTTCTGTAAAAGCTGTCAGGAAAAGACCGTTTCTCATACGTATGGGCTCTTCCCACCTGATAACCATGCCACAATACCATTTGTTCTTTGGTACTGCTATAAAAACTATGAGCTTTATCTTTCCAGAGTGTTCTGGCTGTCAACAGAATGTTTTATCATCTGACGTGTCCTGATTGACTGCCACCAGAGAATAAGCTGATTTATCTTCCTATCCTAATGACCTCCTCTCCATATAAAGAAACATGACACAAAAAGAAAACGAATAATAGAATGGTTCTCGTCACGCTGGCGAAGCTGAAACGGACAGTGGGTTAGGCACCCAATAAACGTTATTGAGTCAAACATCACTGAAGCTGCTTTCCCAGATCTTTCAATGACTTCCCATTGAAAGGAAAATTTGAAGAAATTAAACAGAAACGGTTGCCTAAAGTCAGAGTTTCAAACAAGCTGCCTTCTCAGAAAATAACTTGCTTGAAAAAAGAGTGCATGAAACCTGGCAGGAACATGAGTTTGGCAGAACAAATGGGAATGACTGAAACCAACACAAATCATTTCAGTACCTGTTTCCTTCTTGACAAGTGGCCAGCATTAAAAAATATCTTCTGCCTCATTCAGAGAGATACGGGAAAAGATTGGTGTCTGAAAAACACACTTGGATATGTTACCTACATATAAATTTCAAAAGAATTATCCAATCATTACCATACTGAGCCTGCACATACATATACATACCCAGATCATCATAAAGATGCTGAGAATTGATGTCTTACACCCAATCTACTGGATCCAGTGTATGTGATCATAAGAAGTTAAATCAGGCTAACTAACATCCTGGGTCCTGAGCACATTTTATTTCCATTCTGATTTAATCGTAAAACATTTTCATCACTCTTAGATTGGTACTCCATTGATTGTTGGGTTTGAAACATAATCTCTAACTGGTGAAACATGGCAGTAGGATTTATTTAAGCGACTTAAGATCTCTACATGATTTCCTGTATTTGTGATCCTGCTTCTTCTTCTGCTTCTTTTTTTTTTTTAAACCTCCTCAGTTATACAAGCAAAGCCTAAAACCTCAGTAAGTGTTTTATGTATACAGTTCTCCTGCTGAGTCCTCATTCACGCAAAAACAACAGATACACATGCTCCCACTTACCCTTTTTCCTTAATCTTTCAGAATTCTAATTGGACATCAAAATATACATTGATTATAAAAGATTAAAAAATTATTTTATAACATTTCAAAGGCTTGAAAGGAAATATTACTGATAAAGTATCACTAGGTTTTTAGCAATATAGATTACAAAAATCCCCTCACTCCTTTATATTTGGTTTTATTGAGCAGCACTATACTATTGCTGTCAAAACCTTTACAAGGAAAACCACTATGACAATAACTTCGAACACATACTTTTTCTCTCAGAAATATAATACTAAATCGATTGTTAAAGAAGAATCACATACTGTCAATTTTAGGAAGCATAAATAGTAATTTAAATATACAAAATATATGAGATAGTTTCCTTTTTATCCATCTGTGGCAATATTTATATGCAACTAGCAAGTTATTCTTAAAAGATATATAAGAATTTGTTTAACTTAAACTTTACCACCACGTAAAATCGAAGCCACCCCATCCATCCCCTATCCCCTGCATTTCCTGTTTCTTCCTTGAAACAAAATAAAATAAACAAGTGGTCATAATTCTTTGGTCATGGTGTCAGAATCAGTAAGAATGGATGTGATGGTCATGCACAGAAGATTACGACCCAAAAATGTGGTGATAACTAGTTTGAAAAACTTAAGAAATGTTAATTTATTAATGGACCTAAATTTTGCTTAGTGTACTAAAATATGTAAACGTATCTGTCAGAATGTTTATTTCTCATTTTCTAGGGGAAACAAACATACATGTGAAAAGTTACTTAAAAATAGTGATGGCAGTGGCAATAAAGCCACTGGTCCCACTTTCTTGAAAGCAGTCATGCTATTTAAACTTTCGATTCCTTGTTACTTCCATTGTCACAGTGAACCCTGGTCTCCTCCAATTAGATCCATGATGCAAAGACAGGTGTCCTGAAAGTCATTTCTGAAGGAAATGTTTTCTGCTGAGATATCCAAATATATCCTAACAACTTTCTCTGGAGCCTGACTAACCATTGCTTGGTATAAACAAGACAATATTGAAGAGAAATTCTTATAAAGCCAATGTAGCAAAAATATTTGTGTTGATGTAACGTGGACATCCAAGTTATGCATCACATTTGCATCCATTTCCCATCAAACCCTTAAAAATTTAGAAAGCAATAGATGTTCTTAACGAATATGATACTTGACTTCTACATTACTAGCACCAGATCATATATTATGTGATTGAACATGATTTATAGCTGTGAGTTCTCATACAGAAGCCAAATGTGGACAGAAAAAAAAATAACATCTTAAATGCAAAAATTAATAATAAAGGCATCAAGGGATTACATATAAAAGAGATAACAAACCAGTTAATACCGAAATTATATCATATAGTAAAACTCTTGATATTTCTGTAATTTATATACGTATAATGTGTATTATTTCAGGAGTCACCCATAAACTAGTAAAATATTTACATCTTAATATCTTTTGGATTCAAAATAATCCGGGATAAATAAGTGTCTTAATTGCAAGGATACAATTAATATACATTATACCAAGAATATGCCATGAGTAGGCACAGCTTCCCCTGGGCTTTCCAGGGAAGCACTGGCATTCCATTCCGACAGAGAAGATATGTAACAGCTACTTATCGCATGACTGAGTCGACCTCCCTCTTCATGTAAAATGATGTGGAGCTCCCGCCATCCTGTGCACAGTCATATGGCAGTATCCCAGAACACCGTTTGCTGCTTAGAATAGGGTGGAGGGCTGTACTTCTTTGCCCCAGCGTTCTTCTTCCAGCTGGGCAGGATAGGCATGCTATCCTGTTTGCAAAGCCCCTTTTCCGTTTTCTGTCTAGCTTTTATTTCCTTGCACAAGCAACGCTTTTTCTCAATCATCTCAAGCATTGTATGGTCTCCATGAAACCACTGCATGCATGCCACCTAGCAAAAAAGAAAGAGTGAATACAGAAGCAAAAAACGGTATGAAAGCAATCTCTTTTTTTTTTTTTTTTTTTGCACTGCGCTAGTAGTCATTTCAAAAATGTCAGCTGTTTCTATGTCTTTGTAATTCTTACAAAGCAAAATTAACGTGTGGGAACTATAAATAAATCTAATGCTTAAGTCAACTTTGTGACATAATCAAACAATTATTTGGGCAAGAATATTTTTCCAATATGTTTTAGGAGCTCACAATATGGAAATGACCCTTTCTTTTTTTTTAAGCAATTTGCCTAGTATTTACCTACTGCTTTTATGTGGACTCCATTGTCTTATAGGTCCCAATGTGTCTAAGTTTAGTTTTCAGAACTGCTTTTCAGTGATAGCTAAGATGAATGTGATATGTTTGAAAAATTTAAAGACCATTTTTGTTCAATACTTTCATTTGTTTATAGAAAACATATGGAACTTAGACATTTCATAGTTTTTCTACCAAAATGACTTAGCATACATCTAATGTTTAGAATTTAAATGTTTAAATAATTTTTTGCAAAGAAATTTTTCTATATTTTTTGATGCTTCAGCAAATGTCCAAGTTGGACTTCTTGGCCATCATACTAACCCAGAGCCCAATAAGTTCTAGCACGTTAGAGAAACAGATTCTTCAGGTCAATTATGTACCAGAAGATGATTCAGAACTGATAATACGTTGACACACATACATATATCTCTGGGCAGATAAATGCTGATCCCAGGTATATGTGGTCATGTCCCCTAATAACCATTCTTTAGACTAGAATGACTGAGTTGAGTTTTTCACACAAGGACAGCAATGTGATTGGGCCACAAACCCAGCCTGAGGAAGCTTCTCCTTAATTGTCTAAGCAAATCTACTCTTTGACGTTAAGGATTAAAATAGCTCAGAGTCACTGAATAAGATGTTACAATTTTAGTATAAAAATCAGAGCAAAGGGGCGCCTGGTGGCTCAGTCATTAAGCGTCTGCCTTCAGCTTTGGTCGTGATCCCAGGGTCTTGGGATCCAGCCCTGCATCAGGCTCCCTGCTCAGCAGGAAGCCTGCTTCTCCCTCTCCCACTCCATCTGCTTGTAGTCCTTCTCTCGCTGTCTCTCTTTCTGGCAAATAAATAAAATCTTTTAAAATTAAAAAAAAAAAAAATCAGAGCAAATACTTATGTAACATTTACTCTATACCAGATCCCATTCTAATATATTTGCATAGTTTAATTCATTCATTCCTCACAATGATGATGTTCTGAAATAAGTACTATTTATTAACCCATAATGATGAGTAAAATGAGATTTAGAGAGATTTAACAACTTGTTTCAGCTTACAGAGCCAGCAAAGGGCAAAGTTGGGTTTGGATCCCAAGAATTCATCTCTAATGCTGTGTTTTTAACAACTACTCTATACTGACTTTCAGTGTATATGTAGAAGTGGAAAGGATTGAGAAGATAAATAAGTACAACACCCTCAATATACAGATAAAGAAGCTAAAACTTCAAGAAATTACATATGTTGCCTAAAGCCAGGCAGATAAGTTTCTGGCACGAGCAAGGCAAGATTGAAATTCTCATGATTCCTAATCCATTATGGAGTGGGCAGGATCTAGAGCTAGAAGACAAGAATTCAAAGCCTGGATGTGTCAGATTTCTCCCAGTCACTGCACTTTGTGGTTTCTTTATCTGAATAACTGGATTGGTAATATCTCAATTTTAGAAGTTGGTGTAAGGATTAAATTGGATAATGAAGTCATTTTTCAAGACACTGAACCACTGCCCAACCATTATTATTATAATACTGACAAATACCTAGGAGATTTCCATACCTGCTTTCTGTCACACATGAGCGAAAAGCTCTGTGTATATTAAGTCCTCCTAGCCACCTTGAAAGCTTAGATTTATCTATTCAGTACAAGTCTGAAAGCAGAAAATAGATCAAGGTCACAGCTTATAATAGAGACCTCTATCCAACTCAGATCTGTCCAATTCCAAAGTGAATATTCTTTCTACTACATCTCCTGATCATCATCTAGAAATTATAATAATAATTATTGTCATAGTTACTACCATTTCCAGATGCTTCTCAAGAAATGCAAATATATTTATGGCTTTTTGAGAGAATAAATAGTGTGCATCAAATAAACCCAGATCAGTGGCTTGGACTTGGGGAGTCCAGAAGATGGCACTCTTAGATTAATATCTTGTATGTGTCTAACTTGATGTGAAGTTCCTTGAAAAACAAAACAAAACAAAATGAGCTTTGTTTTATGGCCACGGGTGTTTGCTTTTTAAATGGTATTCTAGATATTTGTTAAATTCTTCCAACTGATAGGCTTTTGTCCCAACAAAACATTGCCAAAGTGGCTCAGAAATTTTTCAAAGGATTTCTAGTATTTTATAACTTGATAATCCATGCAATAAAAATACAGTAAGTCTATTTTGGTGGAAATATAAGCAAAATTTATTAAGTAACTATAAACTCTTAAAATGGATTTGTGACATAGAATTCCCAGAGGGAAGGCCCCAAATTTTATCCATCAGCAGCCCCAACATGCAGAACAGAGTCATTAAGCTCTCGATAAGTTTTATGAATGAATAGAAGCCACCATCATTGAACAGATCTTGTTAACTCTTAGAAAGCTCACCAGATCATTTTCTTCTTAATAAAATCTCTCTGGAGTTTACACATTCCAACAAAACTGTAAAACCTCCAGGCTTCTTTCAGATATTTACAGCATCACTTTGATATTTGCATTGTATTTACTTTTCCACACAAACCTAAAATCATTTGTTACTTAATTTTCTTTAATATTTAAGAGTGAGAATACATGTCATTGCAAAATACTACTTCTCCTAGATTGCTCTAACAACAATATCTCCAATATATTTCATAGTAGTCATTACATTTCAGATATGTATAACTGCATTACTGTAAGTGTATATTTTCTTTCAATTAGAAGTTTGCACTATATAAGTGTATCAATTTAAGAATAATCCATTCTTTAAGAAAATCTAAAAAATAAAAGTTTAAGAATAAAAAGTTATAAAGTATGATTTCCATATTCTTTACATTTTTATTTTAAAGTAGTTAAATGTCCACTTGATTGATATAATGGTTTAAAATATTAATAGAAGAAAATCAACCCCTTTTTACAAAATGCTATAATATTAAACTATTTTCTTTTGGTGGTCAATACAAATTCTGTGAGAAAACATTAGTTAATACATGAATAACAGCTAGATATTCCAAGATAATTTAAATACACGTTATTAGAAAATAGCCAATTCAAGATTTTTAAAATTTCAATATTTTAATAAATCTGTTGAAGAGTACTATAGCATCATCTCACATTAAACTGTTATGGAACATTCTTTTCTCATTTGAGATACCCAAGAAAGTTATTACTATATTAAGATGAGATAAATATATTTTGAATGTGATTCATTTTGGGGAAGACAAATCTACTTCCCGTGTTTACTTTTATATAGCCTGTGGTTTTCAATATTTCTTTCTGGAGGGTGCATGCTCTTTTTAATTCCCAGAATTAATCTCCAACATTATCCACTATGGCCATTTACATGGCAGATTCTCTCTCCCTAAAACAAGTCTAAAAATTACATTTCACTCTGACAGTAGGATGTGCTTCAATTTATTAGTTTGTATATAACAAATAGGGTATTAAGCAATTATATGAAGCATGTTAAGAGCACTATCCATAAAATATTTCATGACTTTGCAGTGTTTTTGTTTTGTTTTGTTTTATCACCAAATTTTTCAAAGCTTTTTAAAATTTAGCTATAAAATTCCATTTCACCTCACCCTGGAGTTAAAAGAATTTTGGAATTTGATTTACAATAAGGATGCATTGGGAGATAATTGTAAGACAACTGCTCAACTGATATGAATACAGTTACAAGATTTTCATATTAACATGATTCAGCAGAGGTAATATTCTTAGCTAAAAGTTGATGTTGATAAAATCAAGTGAAGCTCTTCCTCAAGGAGGTAAAACATAAAACCCCATTCTTTACACACAGGCTACACACAGTGACTTCTTTCCAGAGAGTACATACAGTATGGAAAGGGAGTAGGGGGAGGAGAGTGACTTAACAGTGGATAGCCAAACAAACACTACATACACCACACCAAGTGATCGACGGTGATAAGTGATGTCGATCCTAAGGATCCTGAATAATATATGATGAGAAAGGCACACTGTCTCTGTGTTCCTCCTCCCGCAAACCCATAATCTCAAACTAACCATGAGAAAAACACCAGACAAACCCAAACTGAGGAATATTCTACAAAACACCAGTCCAGAAATCCTCAAAACTGCCAAGATCATCCAAAATAAGGAAAGGCTGAGGAACTATCACCATCTAGTGAAGTAAATGAGACATGATAACTGAAATGGACTAATGTGGTATCCCGGAAGGGATCCTGAAACTGACTAGTAGATGAAAAACTAAGAAAATCTAAATAACGAATGGGCTTTAAAAATACTGTTTCAATATTGACTCACTGGTTGTGACAAATACACCACAGCAATGTAAGATATTAACAAAAGGGGAATCTTGGTGTGGGGTATACAAGGTATACAGGTTGTGCATTCTTTGCAACCTTTCTGTAAATTTAAAACTATTCTAAAGTTCAAAAAATATATTTTAAAAAATCACCAAAAGAGACCACATTCTTTCCAAATGCTAATTGTAACTTATCTTTCACTCTTTAGATGGAAGTAACATGGTACAATAGAAAAAGTTCAAGGACTTGGCTGGGATCTTCATTATTACATGACATTGAAAAGTCATGTATGTCTTTGAACTCATATGCACTTCCTCTATACATTGTATATATATTGGTACATAATTCATATACACATAGTATATATATATATATGTATATACTTCATATATATTTTATGTGCATTATATATACTCTGTATACGTGATGGGTATTGCTACCTATGTCTTACTTCACAT